GGTGCAGGACGGCACGAGGGATTACAACAGCTTCCGAAGAGGCGCCTATGAAAAGGTGCAGCCCCCAAAGGGAGAGCCATCCACCCGCACCTGCACACCCACACTTGATACCTCGTGGCTTCAGACCTCGGCCACTGTTCATCCGTTGCTTAGCATGACTGAATTGCCCTGAGGAGGCACCAAGAATCTGGAAGAGGTTGTGAGATATCACCCGTACAAATCCCCAAGACAGCCATCACCACACAGACACGGAGCGTGATCCGTCTGTGCACCTCAAAGTGCTTCATGCATGCAGGGCCCGCCATTTTAAAGATGGGGAAACTGAGGCACGGAGAAAGGGCGGGACTTGCCCAAGAGCATGTAGGGAGCCCATCGCAGAGCTGAGGAGAGAAGCCACAAGTCCAGATTGCCAGTCCCCTGATCTAATCACTAGCCAACACGTCCCACTTTGCCCGTGATGGGGTCCAAGATGAAGCTCTGAGGCAGGGATAGGTTTGGGGAAACTGGAGGTATGTCTACACTGCACTGTAAACCTGGGCTTAGACTCAAGTTTGAGCCCCACTCTGCCCCTGCACCGTCTACACACAAAGCTGTTTGACACATTCAGCAGGCGCTCCGGATCCAGAGCCTCCGCGAGGTGGGTCTGAGCCCATGTGCCCCAGAGACGGAGGTCCACGCCCTGTCATTGTGCAGTGTGGACACAACTCACACCACAGACCTCAACCAGAAGGTGGGCACAGCGCAAGACGGAGCCTTTGGCATGGCTGTGAGGCTGGGGGATGGCAAAACCCCTCCAAAACCAGACTGCGAGGAGAAACGGCAGCGCTGGAATTCATATGCAAATTTGACACCCTGCAAAGAGGTTTAAATAGAGCCATGGAGTGGCTCTCACCAAGAGCCGTTTGCCCTTCAGGTCCTCTCATTTCTCTTCCCTGTTGGAGACGAGCTACATCCACTCGGATTTCATTAGCACTGATGTCACTCTCCCCGCTCCGGAGCCCTGCCTTTCTTCTGTTCTTTTTTCTCTGCAAGCAGCTGGGGACGTGAGTTGGAGCGCACAGAAGCTTATGCCCTAGTCAGTGGGTTAGTCTTTAAAATGGGCTTAAATTGCAGCAAGGGAGGTTTAGGTTGGACATTAGGAAAAACTTCCTCCCTATCAGGGTGGTTAAGCACTGGAATAAATGGCCGAGGGGGGTTGTGGAATCTCCATCGCTGGAGAGACTGAAGAGCAGGTTGGACAGACACCTGTCAGGGATGGTCTAGATCAGGGACAGGGAACCGCAGGCCCAACGGCCAGCTGCAGCCCCGGCTTGCCTGGATCTAGCCCCCGAGGCTCAGGGCCCCCCAGCATTGTGCTGGTGCTCCAGCCCCCCTGCTGCTCCACCATGGGCAAAAATCTACTAGCCTGAGCACCCCACCAGGCTGTGGTTTTGGGAGGAGGACACGGGGAGTGTCTCTCTCCTTTAGTCAGAGCCACGTCAGTGAGGGGTTTTTTGTTTTTTGCTTCTCACTTGTGTGGTGTGCGGCCCCACAATTGATTTTTCAGTGGGTCAGCGGCCCCTGACCCAAACAAGGTTCCCCACCCCGATTTAGATGTGGCTTGGGTGAGGGCAGAGGACTGGACTTCATCTCTCCAGGTCTAAGATTCTGTGATTGTATGAAAGTTCCACTGAGCCCCTTACAGGTTTTGCAATGCATCATGGGCACTCAGGTGTGCGTAGGCCAAAGGGTGAAGGAAGGGCAGGCAAAAAGAGCAATTGCACAGGGGCCCAGCATGTCAAAGAAGCCAGGAACTTCAGGCCCCTTTGAAACACCATGGGGCTATGTCTAGACTGGCAAGATTTTCCGCAAAATGCTTTTAACAGAAACGTTTTTCCGTTAAAAGCATTTGCAGAAAAGAGCGTCTAGATTGGCACGGATGCTTTCCTGTAAAAGCACTTTTTGTGGAAAAGCATCTGTGCCAATCTAGACGCGCTTTTCCGCAAAAAAGCCCCGATCACCATTTTCCCCATCGGGGCTTTTTTGCGCAAAACAAATCTGAGCTGTCTACACTGGCCCTTTTGTGCAAAAGGACTTTTGCCTAAACGGAAGCGGCATAGTATTTCTGCAAGAAGCACTGATTTCAGATAGTAGGAAGTCGGTGTTCTTGTGGAAATTCAAGCGGCCAGTGTAGACAGCTGGCAAGTTTTTCCGCAACAGCAGCTGCTTTTGTGGAAAAACTTGCCAGTCTAGACACAGCCTGGGAGTATAACCCACGCCCCTAGGCTACGTCTACATTGCATGCCTTTTGCACAAAAGCCTATGCAAATGAAGCATGGATGAGCATATTGCTGTGCTTCATTTGCATAATTAATTAGGGGGCATTTTTGTGCAAAAAACATTCTTGTGCAGGAGCCATTCTTCCTCATTTTTTCAGGCAATGTACAGGTAGCCCTAGTGTACTTCACTGTCTCATGAAGTGGCACTTAGATCACTTACAGCAAGAAATAAGAACAAGGGAGCTCTCCAGCCTAAGCTGAGAGCCAGCTGGCTTTACAGCAGCAAGATGTAGCAGCTCCTCCACAGAGGTGCTAGGTTCAAATCTAACTTCACACAGCTCTGTGGGTGGGGGGAATTATCCTGGCCCTACCCTTTCTGCCTGAGGCTCTGCCCCTTCAGGGGTGCTGACCTACACCCCCCCCCCCCCCCCCAACCCCCCCCCGCTCAGGAAGCCCCCATCTCCCACCTCCCATCTCTGCTCCCAGCCCTGCCATGGTGCCCCACTGGCTGTGAGCTTGGATGCATTTGAGTCCACAGCCTGGGGGCTGCAGACCCCCTAATTAGCTTACAGCTCTACAGCTATGAAGTCATTTAGGGAGTAGGACATGAAGGAGGGCTCTTTCCTTGGTTCTGTCACTGGTCTGCTCCAGTCATGCATCGGTAAGTCACCCCCCCACACACACACGTCGTGCCTCAGTTTCCCCCTCTGTCTGATTTAGTGGGCATGAAGTGATGGCCATTAGACACAGGGTTTACCAACGGCTTTCAGCGCCCCCTGGTTTAGTTTTTAGTG